CAAAAAAGGCTAAATAACGACCATTATCTGTTCTCTGGGTCCGCTTTGTACAGTTTGTTTTGGCGCTAGGCGTTAGCAGAACCAATTCAAACGTATTAGTGACTAGAAAGCTTCTTATTTTATATAACACGCTTATGTGAAGGAATAAGCACCTGACCCATGATTTCTGAAAGCTAGCTTACTAAACAGACGTCTAAACGTAAACATGTGACCTCGCTGGTACCTGACAGCAATACTAGTGAACATAAAACACCTACCTTTCTAACACTATTGGTGATAGCAACATGAGCAGATCGTCTCCTCACCTTCTGGAACCCAGAGCTCCTGGAGTGTTTCATTAGTATGAGGATGGTACCTTAGAAAAAAATAAACAGGAAGAGGAGAGGAAGTTACGCATGTGGGCATAGTTCAGCGGACCGTTTCCCCTGCAGTGGTTTAGGTGTGCCACTAGAGGTCAGTAAAAACACATTAGGAATAAGGAGATAAGAGGAGCGTTACAACATCAGTTAAAATCTTGAAATCCTTTGAGAGCCACAGGTTTTCATTTCTAAAATGACAACAAAGAGTAAGGGGGAAGTTCCTTTTCAACAAAACCCTCTTTACTGTGCTATGGTGGCAAAACACAACAAGAGTCATCTCTTTATATTGTAAGGTAAAGGCCCTGCAGTATTAGAGAAAAAAATCCAATAATCAAGCACTTTGCGAATGTGGAGGGAAGAACTCCATTTTAACAAGAAGAGACGTCTTCCTGACAGAATCAGGCTCAGGTAGGGTCTGTCATGCACAATTGGGAAGTGGGGGAAAGAGAAAAGAAGAAAGAAAAGAGGAAAGAAAAAGAGAGCACAGGGAAACAGGTTTGGGATCATTGTCTTGTTGAAAAAAGTCAGATACTTTCCAGGTGGTATTGCACGGTGGATCAAAATCTTTTGATGATCTTTACTTTTCTGTGTCCATTATTTCATTCGTTTTGGTAAAACTAATGGAACACCCGTGTGTCTCTAAACTATGACATAGCCTCCACCATCTCTTCTGTACATACAGACAAAGATTTGAACCAAAAATGTCACATTTGTTGGGTTTTTTATGTGTAGGATAGTGGATCAATAGCCTAGTAGTTAACAAATATATTTAACACATGACATATAACACTTTGGTACAAGACTGAGCACAATGTCAGGGTGGACTGCATCATTAAAGACACCTGGTATAAAAATCTATGGATCCATCTGCTGTGGCAACCCCATATGAAGCTTCTTGTGTAATTTGGCATACATCAGCCTTATGTCTCTGTTTCCCTTCATTAAGAATGGCTTCTTGACAGCCCCCCTGCCCTTTGACTGAGATATAAGTGATGTCTCTTTAAATGTCTCACAAGAAATTTCAAATAAACGGTTTTTTGTGTTCTTTAACAATTAATTCTTTTTCTACAGTTAATATTTTTTTCACTTAATATGTTTGGTTCAGTCAATGTGATGAATCTCTGTTAAGTCATTAAGGTTGTGTTATCTCATGCTCTTATTAATGCTTGGTTTAAATTATCTTTCCAAATTGAGGTAATGTTACTGATCTGGTCACGACATGGCACTATTGCTCATTCCAATATGGATGGTTTCACAGTAAACACTTTTAGACTTATAACTTTTAGACTGAAGAACCCCTTCTGTTAAAACATAAGCAGGAAAAAAACTCTGTTCGCAGGATTTTTTGGGGGGTCTATTTGACAATAAGGCATCTATATTCATTAATTTTGGGGCAATAATCTACTGCTATTCTTATTCAATCTCACTTTTCTATTATCCTCAGTCTATATGTCAGCTGTTTTTTGATTATACCAGGGAAACTACCACCAAGCCATATGCATGACTACTTCAGTAGCTCTTAGTACAAGTCACTGCATCAAAACCTAACCTTTTTAAGACAAAGATACGTGGTATTTAGTACTTTTTTTCAGTAGCTTGAAGGTCATTTTGGCATACAGTAAACGGTTGTTTTAAGCAACAACAAATTTACAAGATGCCGTTTGAGTAGCAGGACAGCCAAAAAGCAATAGCTTATCCTATTTGTCTAGTTGTTGCTCATCTAAATCACAAATGCAAAAAGTCTGGACCTATGAGAGACGCTTATCTGTACGCTGAGTTTCCAAGGTCTGTGAAGGATATGGGCACAACCTTTAAAATCTCCCTAGTCATAGCAGATATTACAAGGTCAAACACAAAACAATCGACCTGCACATTTTAAAGAGACTCTGACATTTTTAAATGATTATTTTCATCTTAAAACAGAAGTTTTAAGAACTTCACACACAGGTTCGCTGACACTTAAAAAGTCAGTGTTCAAATAAACTTAGATATAAGTTTTAGATATATCTTTTATAATCTTTTATCATTTTAATCTCAAAAGAACAGCGTGGACAGAGTTCACTTGTCATGATGCTGTGGATAATCCTGATGTTTAAAAAAAGAATATTGATAACATATATAATATCTCAAAAGATGTGTAACTGTTGTTTTTGCACAGCTTTTGTAGAGTTATAGACAACTCTCTCTGTCTGCCTTTGTTTCTTTTTGAGTGTTTTTCGTTTTTCAAAAAAAGAGAAAGCCCACGAGTGTTGGAAATGTGCTTCCTCCAAAGGGTGTCTGGAGTCTCACTTAAAGACAGCATGAGGAGCTTGGTCACCTGGGACGGGCTCAGAGTAGAGCCGCCACTCCTCCATATAGAAAGGAGACAGCTTAGGTGATTCAGGCATCTGACTAGAATGCCTCCTGGACGACTCCTAGGTGAGGAATTTCTGGCTTGGTAACACCTAGCTGTCTATAGACTGGACTGGAAACGCCTGGGTGTCTCTAAACTGACTTGGAAACGCCTAAATGTCTCTAAACTGACTTGGGAATGCGTCAGTGTCTCTAGACTGACCTGGGAATGCCTGGGTGGTAATGTCTTTGCTTAGACTGCTGCCCGTGGTACCTGAATCTGGATAGGTATTAAAATAATGGATTGATGGATGGCTGGATGAAAGTAAAACACCTGGCTTGAAGTACCTCTTCAGACTTTTACTAGTTTAGGCTAAAGCAGGCTGTAAGAATGACTTAAAACACTTTTTACTGTGATCCACCAAAGAAGAAGAAAGCTGAGATATCTCTGAGATATATAGCAGTATCCCAATACTGAAAATGCACAGCAGCATTATTTCAATTCCAGTTTGAGAGGCATAAAGGCAACAACAGCAATTTGTGCTTAAATAGGTGCCAGCTATTGTGTAAAGCATCGTGTAAAGACAGTGATGATGATTTTCTTTCTCCAGCAGGTGGAGCTGAAGCACAAAGAGATATACTTAAGCTGGATCACCATCATTTTCAAAACATGAGGAGAAAAACAAATGAACACATTGTCAGTAGTCTTCAGCTCAATTTCAAATCCAGAAAATCTAGACTTGTGGTCACCTGACCCTTGTCACTTGAATCTACACTGCACAAAAAATGCCCCTGCATGAAAACTGAATCATATGCTTAGTTTGCCATCATCACAATACACCTGCATCAATGTTCACTCAATACTCTTTTTGCAGACTAAATGTTTGAAGAAAAAAACTTAAAAAAATGAATGAATGCACTGATACAACAGAGTTAAAATGGAGAGAATTTACCAGCAGCACATCAAGGTATCACAGTTTGTCCAGTTCTATTTATATTAATTCAGTCTTAAAACAAAACACAATTAAATGACTAATTGTATAACATGTAGCACTTAAGCAGCACACCAGTACATTAAATGTAAACCACTTAAATCTTGTTAAAAGAAAACATATGAAATGCATAAGTGATAACAGTGACATCGTGCAGCAAACAAACTGAGTATAACAAAGGAAGCTGCCGACAGACCACACAGTGAAATGCAAAAACGCTGCACAGGGCAGCAGTCAAATAACCATTAATAAGTTAGGAAGTTAAAACTGATCACAAGATAGAGTAGAAAATTACTGTGCACAAGTCTTAGGCACTAAACATTCTCGCAAATATAACTTATATAAAGTGCAGTAATGCATTTTTGGCGTGGCCAACTTTGAAACAGCAAGAACAGGAAAACTTTCACAGTTTTTCAAGCTTCTCAGCAGAAAGGCCGTTCCAAGCATCTCAGAGAAGTTGCCCCAGCTCTTTTGCAGCACCTCAGATGCATCTGCTGCAGGGCTCTTGTTCTTTATGTCTCTGGATTGCAGTCATGTTGCAGAATTTGCGTCCGTTCAGATACCACATCTAAGGTTCCTAAAACTTCTGCACTGCATCCCGTAATAATAATAATAATAATTATGCACTGTAACAAAGCACTGAGAAGCTGTAATCCAGCTCCAGCAGGTGGAACCTTAAAGATGATCTGATACACGTGTGTAATAACAGAAGCAGGGAACCGTTTTGTAGAACACTGAGCTGGATAAAATGAGGCACAATGGCCTTCTTTCATTCATTCAATCAAACATGGACACCAGCCAGTTTTCCTCATCACTATACTGATAATAACCCAACAGGCATGTGCCACATTGTTCCACCCCACATTTCTCTATATAGGAATGCGTGGAGAGACGGTGATGTGTATGGTGGAGAAAGCTGTGAGCTTACTGAACATGAATTCTGTGTTTGCACAGCAGTCGTAATGGTTAAAAAAGAGGAGAAAAAACCCACATCATATAAGCTTCTGTTCAGACAGAAGTACAAAGGTTTGATGTTAAAGACGCAATAAATGGACCAATGATGAAAGCACATCATCAATGCCATGCTTATTTACTATTATTATTATTATTATTATTATCTGTCCCCCATTTTAACCACTTAAAGCTGGGATATGATCACAGGTGTGATAAGGTATCCCCATTTTTGTGTTATGTAAAACATATTTTGTGTTTTCTTCATTAGAATGCATTACACTTATTTCTGTGTTATAGTTTTATACATTTTTAAAACTGTAAATGAATACATGAATATATATTACATTGTTATTATTGTCATTTCTTTTTTTTTAGGTATTTGCTATATTATTTTGTTAGAAATTGTGTTTAAATTGTCTAAAACAGCCATGGCTTCATCCTTTGAGGATATGCATGGTCTGAGGCTGGTCTGACTTTATTATGTGTGTACGCATAAATTCAGGTCAGCATTAAGGAATCCAGCAGACATATGACTGAAGCGCAGCGTCTTCTGGTGTGCTTTGTGTAAGGTTTGTATGAAAGCATTTGCAACATTTCTACAAAAGCAAATTAACTGTAAGAATATATTAACATCTCGTTCCATCTTGTAAAAATTCAGACCAGCACAGATGATATACACTCTTTTAAACTTTCTGCTTCTCTTTAAAAACAGCACCATCCCTCTTCAGGAGGGCTACCTCGTTCTCCAGGGCACGGATCTTAGCCACCGTGCTCTCCTCCCTGCGATCCAGTTCTAAGATCTTTGCGTGCAAACTCAAGATCTTCCTCCAGAGCTCATCTTTGTCAGTATCCGGTCTGCAGTACGAATGCTCAAAAACAGAAACCTTCTCTTCATCAGTGAGTCCACTCTCTGCTAAAAAACAGCCTGTGGTTTTGTCCTTGACCAGTTCCATGGGGACAAAGCTAAAAGCCTGACCCAGCACTGCCTGGAATGCATCTCCATCCATGTTTGCCCCTGCATCAGAGAATGAACCTGGCTCACAGCACAATACAGTCACAGTGGACTCGGCCTGCTCTTCAGAACAGAGTTCCCTGCTTGGAGACTGTGCTGCCGTTTCACCATCAAGTGGTTTCTCACAAGCACCAGTCTGTATCTCAGAACGTTCTAAATGAGAGTCCAACACTGCAGGTTCAAATACCATCTCTGTGCGTTCCCCAGACATATTGTTTATCACTGCTGACTGGGACTTTCTGCCTGTTTTGCTCAAAATGAGTGGCCTTTTTTTACTGGCAGGAGAGTCGAATGTTGCAAGCTCAGGATCACCGAGTGAAATGTTGGTTTTAGCCTTGAGGCTTCTTTTCAGGTTTGTCGTTTTCTTCTCATCGTCCTGGAATAAAAGATAAAAGGTCTTCATTAATGGGAATTAACAGAAAATCAACAAGTTTTGGCGCAACAAACGCGTGGTAAGAAACTGCTTAAATCCTTGCCTGCACTCTCTTCGTCACCACTCTTGTACCCTGTCTCTTGTTTTGATTGGTTGACCCCAGGTATTTAAACTCACCTGCCTTCACTACCTCTTTTCCTTGCAGTCACTGTTATAACATAGTACTAATATATACAAATATATATATAAATACAGGCTTAACTCCACAAGACTACGCTTTATACTCAAAGTTTAAGAAGTTATTAAGAAGCTAAAATTGTATTCTGAGCTTGATGTTTTCTAGATACATACATCTTCACTAGAAGGAAAAATGGTGGGGATGGCTGTATTCTTCAGGTACCGGATTCCCCATCGAATATCGAAGCAGTCCGCTGTAAAGTGCTCACTGCACAGATACTGATGTCGACTAGGGGTCCACTGCTCCCTCTTCATGTTGCTCACCCATTTCTGAAGCCTGGACTTGTCTTGCAAAGGAAACCTTTGAGAGATAGACCGATAATAGAGAGCTTTAACTCTAAGCACTGGAGTGTGATTTGGATCAGCCTAACACTACCCTCGTGTCATTACAAGCAAGCACTATGATATACTTAGATGACATCCTTTTTGCACCTCCTGCAAGTGACATCTTTCACCAATTAAGCCAAGCAACACGTTACAGATTAACTAAAACAACAAAAACATACGGGTAGAAGCTGATTCTCTTGCTGTCTTGTCTTGATGCAGTCCCCCCACGGTTTCTGCAAACTCTCACAGCGCAGTAGCGTGGCATATCTGTAGACAGACTACATGAAAACACATCGGCGAGACCCGTTCGAGGATACAATTAGAAAAAAAAAAAAAAAAAACCCACACACCAGCTCGTAGATGATTATATCCGGTTTGTGGCCCTCGTAACGGAAGTGACGTGTACAGCATTTATTTTCTTTTTTACTGGCTCTTTCACGTCATCACTTATTAGACATATTTGCATCGAAATTAAGATTCCCTATGAGGATATAACTTTTTTAAATAAAATTATTATTTTCATTATTTGTATTAAATAAAAACCTACAAAATAATAACGCACGCGCTAAATAAAAAATGTACCGATGGCAAAACCTGTATAGGTCTTACGGCATTTGTCTATAAAGTACAATCGACGTTTTAATCTTTGAAATCTTTCATTTAAATTTACTATTGACTTTCAATGCTTCCGTTTTCCCCAACCCTCGGATTATTTAAGTATTCTAATTCTGCTAAATCGATTACGTCAAAATTGAATAGAAAAGCAAAGGCGGAAAAGATAAGCAGATTATTTTCTTGCGTTACCTATACCTACGTTCCGCCCTGGCCTTAAATCTTCCACGTGCGCATATTTTCCACCAATCACAACGGTCTGAATCACTGTGTTCGGAAACCCACCAATGGCGTTGCGAGTCGTGGTGTTACGGCTCAGGAATGCAGCTAGACAACAACTGTTAGCTTTCGTTTCACATCAGCTGAGCTGGAACCTCCGGCGATTAACACCAGTATCCCCAGGCTGTTTGTTACCTTGTATACAGGTAAGCTCTCAGTTTTAACTTAGCTACTTTAACTTAGCTGCCGCCGGTGGCTCTTTATAGGGTATAATTTACAAGCTTTTAAAAGGTCAAACTAGTTACTCCTCTTTTCCAGTAAAAGTTGTCATTTTTCTTGTTTGCGACGCCTTCTGCCTTCAGACTCGCTCGAAAGTTAATAACTGCTTGTATCATTTGACAAAACGGTAACAATTTTATCCTTTTAAGGCTTCAGAAGTGTTTCAGAATTGTGTGAAACGTTTTTAACACAGTTGTCTAAATGCTGTTCTCACAGACGGAAAGGTGTCTAAACCACCAGTATGGCCACAGCGCAGTCGACGTTGCTGCTAGCAGTGCATATTCTGCTCATCTCAGAGTTCATTCTGGCCAAAAGGGACTACTACGACATACTAGGGGTGCCGAGAGATGCTACCGAGCGGCAGATCAAGAAGGCCTTCCACAAGCTGGCCCTGAAGTACCATCCTGACCGAAACAAGGGGCCAGACGCTGAAGCCAAGTTCAGAGAAATAGCAGAGGGTAAGTTACACATTATGTCAGTCTGTATTGTTGGGAAAGAGTCCTCATACAGTTGATCTAGAGACCTAAAAGCAAAATAGTTGCTACTTAAAAGTTTTTTTTTTTAAGGATTCTGATGTTAGAGTGGACTTAAAGGGGAGGATCTGCCCCAGCAGTCGCACCTTTCCTTGTTTTTGTTGACGTAATTGCACACTATGGTAACGGCTAAAGGGTTACACGCCCCATTCTGTGCTTTTTGTAACTTATTTCCTAATGAATTTAATCTTATATATATATTTGTGTCCTCCAGCATATGAAACCTTATCGGATGATAAGAAGAGGCAAGAGTATGACCAGTTTGGACATAGTGCTTCATCAGGGGAGGGCCAGAGAGGAGGAGACTACGACTTTAACCAGCACTTCAAGTCATTCAACTTTGATGACATTTTCAAAGACTTTGACTCTTTTGGTCAACATCAACAACAACAACACCACCAACACCACTTTCACTCCCACTCTAATTCCCACCACAAGAGACACTTTGACAGCCACTTCCAGGCTCATCGAGAGGCCATGAATGGGCACAGGAGGCAGTTTCAGCAGGGCAGCTTTGGCGGAGGACTATTTGATGATATGTTTGAGGACTTGGAGAAGATGTTTTCCTTTCACACGCACAGCTCCAGGACTGAGAACAGATTTCAGGGCTCAGGGAAGCAACACTGCAGGACAGTGACGCAGCGTAGGGGGAACATGGTGACCACCTTCACTGACTGCTCTTAAGACAGGCTGGATAGTAGGGGGGGGGGTTCTTTGTGGTTTTTGAAATTGAAAGCTAATTTATCACTTGGTGAAACAGAGTGGCTTTGTGTGGCTTTTTGTAATTGCATGTAATTTCCTGTATGAACAAATATCTAAGCTAGCCTGAAAAATGGCTGCTTCCAAGCAATAACTCATTCATATTATTATTATAGCATAGTAATAAGTCTTAAGATCAGTCAGATACCTCCCTATCACCTCGCTTTCCAGGTTCGTTATGTTTACAATCTGATTCTCAGGCATGGCCTATGCTTAGTTTAAAAAGAGTACTTTTCTCTTGAGCAGTGAAGCAATTAGATGCGTTAGAATTCACATTTGTGAAAATGGGAAACCATAACTCTGCAGCTATATAGGCCATATTTTATTTTATCTCATCAATAGAAACCTTTTTCTCATCCAAAACCAAGACTTGCAGGTTTTGCACATTTGGTTTCCTGACAACCCCCTTTTTTTTTTCTTTATTTTGGTGAAAGGATACATTAACAATCAATTCTTCTAACTGCATTTGTGGATGCACTACATTCACCTGGAATGTGTACAGTTTGGCCATTATCAACTGTTACCTCGTTTAGGTTTTTTTTTGGTTGTTGTTGTTTTTTTTTCCTCTTCCAACAGAGTGGCATCTACCTTTTACTCAGTCAGGGTTGGAAATTAACATCAGTCCTATGACAAAAACTGGCAGACTTGGCCACAGGCAAAGTCGGCGGAGGTGTTTGCATGCGTGATTGCTTGGCTGTTTGTTTGTTTGTTTGTTTTTTGTTTGTTTGTTGTTTTGTTTTTTCATTTGGACCAGCTATCACAAAAACCACCCAGGCTCATCTGCCAGTCAAACTGAGTGGTCTGACAAGTTAAGATTCCCTAAACTGATCATAACGTGCAATATTTAGCACCTTTGCTCTTCATGTTGCCTATCTTCTATAGACCGTGCTGTGTAAATGTCATTGTCTAATGTCTGCACTTTGAATGCGTGCGTGAGTGTCTTGAATATCAATTGGTTGCAAAATGTTTGGAGAATGAATAAAAAAATATATATTAGAGGAAAGTTTGTGCTTGTGTTTAACTGAATTGGGAAAGGAGGGAGGCAGTAATGCACTTGTGTAATTGGTCTTTGTTATTAATGTGCTTTATTGTTTATGATTGTATTCTGATTATAAAATATGAATTATATTTTCATGTGAAGCACACACCAATGCAAATGTAGAATAAGTTCCGTGTCATGTGGTCTCATGAGATGAGATGCAACTAAAAGGAGAAGCTGCTTGATGTGTGAAGCCACAAAGTGCAAGTTGCTGCACTGGCTTCTGCACACTGTTTTACATGCATACGTGTTATACAGTCTCAGATAAACAGACTGTATCAGTTTTGTACAGTAAGTGAGAGATCCACTCAAGGATATTTACATAACACAACACAACTGCACATTGGATGATTCTTATGTGAAACTTAATAGTTGATTTGACTGAAAGACAGTTTTTCACGCTCTTTTTAAGGGTTCAAATGCATGGATCATAACCCACCCCCCAATTTTACTTATTTGGGTCACCCAGTTACCAAAATACACAAGTAACCCACTTTCAGTTTTGCCAGCATTTTACCTGATAAGCAATTCTTGCCTACTTCCAGTAGAGGTCATACTTTCTTAAAGCAGGAAAAGTGTTTTGAGCGCAATCTGCAACATTCATTGGCTTATCAGGTGACACAGAGGCAACCTTGACAAAAATAACAACATGGTGGGTTAGAAACCTAGGTAATGCTTTTTATTAAAATTCGGGCTATAATGCATTACAAGAAGGGTGAACCGTTCCTTTGATCGTATACTCATAGGGGTCTTTTGAAACACTCTTTGTCTGCTCCCTCACCCAGTTCTAATTTTCCATGGGAGACCCTACCAGGGTGCAAAATCTCTCTGACAGCATAGCTCCTGGGATCTCTGGGACACACAAACCCCTCCACCACGATAAGGCAGCGATTCACAGAGGGGTATCTGTAACACCTATACACTCAATACAATACTTTTATTAAACACTTTTAAATAAAGTCAAAGTTTGAATTTCTCTCATAATCCACTGAGAGACTATATTTTCAAAAAAATCTGCTGTTGTCAAAATACTTATGACTCTAACAGCATCTCCTCTCCTTAAATCCCCTCCCTGTTTTATCTTTCAATCTTGAAATCTAAAGTTGGCTTAATTACATATTTTTACCCACTGTTTATCCAGCACAGCAATAAATAACATAATTATTTCATTTCATGAAATGGCAAACCATTTTCCTACAATTTCTCTATGTCATTTAGTGGGTTTTCCTCAAGTACAAAGCAAAAGCTTAACTTAATTGCTGTACCTGAGAAACAAACATAGCAGGAGGGTTAAAGCATTAAAACCGAATGCTCATGAGATCCAACCACAAGATAATAAAATAAAATATTAAAAACAACAAGAGAGAAAGTAGAAGAAAAAAGACTGTGGCATAGCAATCCCCTTAACGTCTCCATTTGAAAAAAAAAAAAATGAAGTGAGCATGTGTATTAGCAGAGAGCTCTGTGGTGATAAGGTTGGCTAATAAGTAATAAACACTGGTTAACAAGTAATCCTGATGGCCATCATATTTTTCATAAATTTGAATAAGGTTAGAGATCCAGCACACCATGGTCTTGCAAATCTGCAGCGTCACAGAGCTAGCATGACACTGCAGATTTCTTTATAAAGCTCTAATAAAGCATTTGTTATCTTGTCTTTTATGACAACACACATATAACACTGTGATACAAATGAGGTAACTGGTTTGGTTAAATTGTAGGGCAGGCTCTGCTAGTTGGGCATGAAGCCATCTCACATTAAATACATATTATTTTTTTATGCAAAATACTCAAGCGTTTAATATCTATTTCAGAGATGGTATTTCCCTTTCGATGTAAGTGGCCTCCTTGACTCCTACAAATACTTCCTTACTATACTTAGGTACAAATTTCCGGTAAAGGTAGTTGTTTTTCCTGACCACTTTTACTCCCTACATTTTTCAGCAAATATCTGTGCTTTCTTCTCCTTACATTTTCAAAACAGACTCATTACTTTAGCTTTAATGCATTTGAGGGAAGTTTTGTCATTGCCAGCTTTCAGGCATCAAAGCGATTTGAGACTAAACTGTAACATGAAAGGCAGTCCTGTTCGTGTATTAATCTTCTTTCTTTCTTTCTTTCTTTCTTTCTTTCTTTCTTTCTTTCTTTCTTTCTTTCTTTCTTTCTTTCTTTCTTTCTTTCTTTCTTTCTTTCTTTCTTTCTTTCTTTCTTTCCTTCCTTCCTTCCTTCCTTCCTTCTTTCTTGCTTGCTTGACACAACACCAGAATGACTGCAGGTGTCTATAAGTTGCGGTACTTCAGGATCTAGCTAGCCTTACTGAAGAGGAGCAAACATAAAGGGAGTGGCTTAAAAAAAGTGGCAGGTAGTTTCAAATGCAAGGTATCTATCAGCCTAACAAACATCAGCAAACACAAACTGTTTGTGGGCAGTTTGTCACACAGTGTGTTGCTAGCTAAAGGTCCAGTTGCTGTATTTCACAGGAGAGAAAAGAAAGAGGGCTAACTTTACTCAGAGATGGAGAAAGATAAGAAAGACATGAGAGAAAGAAGAGAGATTGGATTTAAATGTAAGGACTGTTTAGTGGTATTTGATAAACTGTAAATGTAAAGCTTACATGTAATTCCTCATGTTTTTAAATCAGATATTCGGTCTGTACATTCAACATTATGTTTTTTTCATATTGTGAAATGTGCTGTAAAACAAATCGAGGTAGACTAACTGCTATTTAAAAGCTGCATGAAAATAAACAGGTTAGTGCAGGATAAACAGGTTAATTCGCTGTACTGTGATGGTTCTAAAGTAAAGAACAATGTGTGACTGGTGCCCAGTGACTGTCGTTCATGGTCAGAGTAAGGTTGCATCAAGTGTAGCAGACATTCATATGAACCTCAGCTGATGATGCTTAGATTCATTGACTGAATTGCACCTTCATACCAAATTTATACCATCTAAAAAAAGGCAGCAGAAACAATGCTTGCTGTCAGTGGAGGATGGAATCAGCAGGACAACTCATGAAATATCTGCTGACATCTGGTTTAATTACGTTGTGTAAATCCACAAAGAGCAGCAGGTCAGCTGATCACAGCCTGTACACTAGTCTGAAAGTCTCCTGAAGTTCTCAATAGAAATTATTGTCAGTTATGATTTTTTTCCCCCTCCACACTCAGCGATTACAACCAATTTTAGGGTTCCCCCACCTGCTGAATCCCACTTTACTGTACACATTTTCCTGTTTTGAGGCAAAGTCATCCTCTACAATGTAGGCAACAGAAAATAGATATATTTTCCTTTTTTTCCCTTCAGATTCAAGCTGAGTATAATTAGAATTTTAAAAAAGTTAGACTGAACGTTTGTATTCCCATCTATTAATATTATTTTATCATTATGTTAATATAACACAATAATATAACACAAGGTTCATATAGCTTTGCACAGAAATAGAAACATCCTCCAAAGAGCTACTTTTTACTTTCTAACTTTGAGTGCATTTCAGAGCTTGTACAGTTCTATTTTTACTTAAGTAAAGAATTTGACTCAGTACTTCAACTTTTACTGGAGTAGTTTTTAACAGTAGTATCTGTACTTCTACATAAGCACAGAATATCTGTAGTTTTGCCAACTCGGCTTGTTCATGGAAATCAAAACCACCTTTTTTGAAATCCGGCAACGGGAGAAAAACCCCACCAAACTCCGTGCTCCCAGCGTCTGACGAAAAGCCACAGACTGAGCAGCAGGTATATTCTTGCCTCACCGTCCGTCCGTGGTGAGTCAATTCAAGTAGGTACTAATGTTGCTCTTTGTTGTTTGCTGTCTCCCCTGTTTTTTTTGTTTTTCTTTCTCTCCATACAGGTGACCCAGGAGTTGTTTTTTTTTGTTTTTTTTTCTCTCTTCCCCCCCTTCTCACCGTCTCTTCTCCCCTTTGGTTTTCTTTCTTCCTCTCCCCCTCTTTCTTTCATTCTTTCCCCCTGTCCTATTAAAAAAAAAAAAAAAAAAAAAGGATGACAAAGGATGAACTGAAGCTCCGCCATCACGTGATGTCACATGCTGCTGTTTCTGATGTCACTTCCAAAAAAAAAAAAAAAAAAAAAAAAAAAAAAAAAAAAAAGTAGGTACTAATGCAAAGGGTCACTGAGCAGTGACAAAATTTTCTCACAATAATCTTTCTGGTTTAGCAAAACTGTGCACTTACCCTTGTCTGCTGGACGGATGGTATTGCTGTTCTCATTATTAAGCGATGTGAATGCTTTCTTCTCCTCCTCCTGCATTGCTGTATCATCACCGCTGAAGGAAACGGTTTCCAGGGCCTAATCCGTGGATCGACTTCCTTCGAGGCGTGGACGTCTATCAGCAGAGAATGTACCTTCACCTATCAGCAGAGAATGTCCCTTAGTCTGTAACACAGTCAAATATATTCTCAAGCAATATTCAAGCATGCCATTCAGTGTGTTAGTACGAGCTCGGGAGCAGCTTGGGAGAACAAGAAAACAGAGACTGCTTCAGATTGTCTTCCCAAATTGACTCAACTTTATTCACAAGTATAACAGTTTATATAGAGGGTAAAATTCATGAGACAGCAGATTATCAGTTTAAACCAGTACAGACCAAGATAAGGGAGCGTCTTCCTGCCCTTGGGTGAAGAAGCATCCTTTGTGTAGTTTATTAGTTCAGATACAATTGTGATTATCTCAGCGACATATTTTCAAGGCACAAAACAAAGAGTTCTTACATTAGTGAAATCTGAAACAAACCATTTGGCCTCAACAGGCGTCTCCTAAAAGATTAAGAAACTAATGTAGCTGAGGGAGTGATCTCTGTGGTATTTCAACCTTGTACCAGCCTGTGATTCTCACACATCAATTCTTGGGTCAAAGAGAAAAATAACTAAAACAAAGGGGCCTTATTGGATGACAGAGTTTTCCTGCATAATGTCACTATAAAACAATATCCAGTAAATGCTCCCATGGTACTAAAATACCTAACAACCGCAACCTTTGCATTGCTGGGACAGGCCGAAACCTTCATCTGTAGTTGCTCTGCTTCCACATCTGCAATGTTGTTATTTTGAATTGCTGTTTCTGTGACTGTGATCAGTTCCACTAGCGGGATTTGTCTTGGTGTCACAGCAAAGTTCAACCCTTTTGCTTTGCTTGGGTGAGTTGTCTGTCAGATAAAATTTTCACCCACTTGCTCACATCTTCGGTGTGGCCGCTGAGGACACACACATATTTTTCTGGTATTCTTTATGGCATCAATTTCAGCAATGTCCTGAAAACATTCCTCAGAAATTTTGGTCCATATTGACATGATATCATCGCACAATTGCTGCAGATTTGTCTGTGCGATTTGTCTTGTTCCACCACATTCAAAAGGTAATCGAGTAGATTTCGATCTGGTGCTTTGGAAAGAAAACCTTGGGCCTAACTTTTATCTCCTTGAAGGAAGTTTGGTGTAAAAGAGAAGTCATAATCAAAATCAGTTTGAAAACAAAAAATTGTGAAAATATATATACATAGATTGTGTCTACATTTTTAACGCAACTGATAAAAACATACATATTATCAGGATAATAATGGATTGCATTTATATATATCCTTCCACTATTCATTCACTCTCACACACTGCTGGAGGCAGCTACAGTTGTAGCCACAGCTGCCCTGGAGCAGACTGACAGAAGCGAGGCTGCCATATCGTGCCATCGGCGCTTCTGGCCAACACCAGTAGGCGGTAGGTGAAGTGTCTTGCCCAAGGACACAACGACCAGAACAAAGAGCCCAGGGATCGAACCGGTGACCTTCCGGTTACATAACATAGTTATTCTTTTGGAATTCAGCTAAACAGGGTCAAGCACCCATAAGAACAAACTGTTCCTGACAAAGAGGAGGACTGTATATCTATATTAACTCTAATGAGCAGAGAAACGTTTTTAAAGTTTTTATCATTAACGTTGTGATCTTTGTGAGAACATCTGCATTTAGACATATTTCCATTTTGACATGTCACGTTTAACATATCATTGAATCTGCAGCTGTAGTTTTCAGTGTGTTGCTGAAGTAATATTCACTGCATGATTCAGCATTTTGTTCTGAGAACAGAGTGCTGAATCACATGTTATCTTTTGCCTTCTGAAGATAACATGCACCAACATCTCAATAAACGCACTTATATTTACAACGTCTTCACCTTGACAGAACAGGCCTTTAGTCAACAAAAAGTTACTGCTTCACTATCCTACTGCTGTAAACCCAACTCAGTCAGAAAAAGAAAATTTTTCTTTTGTGTGTGTTTCCCACTAGTTTATAGTAAGTGAGTTCTGACAGATTTTTGGTCTTGGGAGCATATATTTTGAAAGGCTTTCCTAACCTTGGTTTGCTGAATAAACCCTGCAGCAATCTTCCGCTGAAGCTTTTTAATTAACACACGTTGCTGTCTCTTCTCCTCCGCGTCCTGTGTTCAAAGATTATTTTTGAGGGGGGATTAATTCATTCAGACTGACCTAAAATCGCAAGCCGTGCTAATAGAAACTTTATCAAATTGCATAATCTTATTTACAATACTTTGCGTTCCTGTGATGGTTGTATACTAACTTTTCACTTTCCTGTAAACTCTTGACACAACTGAGACTGCTTACTGCCTCGATTCTGACAAGTTTACAGCACTGTATATGGTTGTGAACGTTATAGTGACTATACACTAATTGATGTCACAGACATGTTTTTTGTAAACTCTAGAGGAGTCATCTATTGCTGCATCGTTGTAAGAGGTATCAATGGTAAGTGTCAATTAAAAAATTTCATTTTACTTTGTCTGCGGATTTATGTTTACACATATAAGAGGTTACCAATTTAAAGTGAGATGCAGTCAAATGTCAGTTTCAGTAACACAATAATTTTGTTTGCAGCTTTTCAGAATTATGCTCAGACTGAATAAAGACATTACTTTCAAATTTTCCACATTATCCAAATTGTGGAAATTATAGAACTACCCGTTAAAAAATTTTATGTACACCTAACAGAATATTTCTGCACTGTGTGTAAGAAAAGCGGGGCCCATTGAAAGCCTTCCTATTTCACTGATATTATGATTATGTAAGAGACGGTCTCCTCCTACTACTAGAGAGAGTATATAGTAGCATGAGTCAGCACATTCAAACAGTGAGTGTTCCGACTAGGTTGAGAACGTTACTTCAAAGCTACTAAGATGATACCTGCTGTTACACTTAACAATGGAGCAAAGATGCCAATAGTGGGTCTGGGCACCTGGAGGGTAAGTCTTAGATTTTTTTGTTTTAAACTAGCTCTGTGGGAGACTGCTAATCTGTCCATGCTCACCCTACTTTTCAATGAATATTTCTGCTACTCTCATTATTTTTCACTGGTTTCACTCGTCTATGTTATCTGTACTATTTATATTTAATTTGTTTTTATATAACAAATTCCCTATCTTGCTGATAGAGTCTGGTTACAAAAGAAACCAAAGTAACATGTTATTTACATAGTGCAACTAAAGTAAAATAAACTGGATTGTAGAGGCTAATCCTACGTGACGCGATGTCACTGGTATGCATGAATGAATTAAACAGTCCAATAACTCCAGCAGTACTTATCTTGTCCTTTTTGGTCTTTATTCCAACATCATTTTACCATAACAACGCAGCGGTCACAAACTGCTTGCCTTCTTGCGATTCACACTTGCTTTATTCATTCCATGTTTTTCTATCACCTTACCTGTGCAGTCAGAACCAGGAAAAGTGACTGAGGCCGTGAAAGTCGCCATAAGTTGTGGCTACAGACACATAGATGGCGCTTATGTGTATCAGAATGAAGAAGAAGTTGGAGCTGGAATCCATGCAATGATTGATCAAGGAGTGGTAAAGAGGGAAGACCTATTCATTGTGAGCAAGGTGAGCTTTAGAGAGAGCCAATAAAAATGAGTATAAACCATTTTATTATCTCAGGTTGTCTTCCAAAGCAGTGGCTTTGGAAGACAACCTGAGGCATGTGGCTTTCCACACCATGGTGATCCCTTTACATGAAAGATCCCCAGCTGAGATGGGATAAAGACACAAGCTAGTGAATTCCTAGTGCTGGTTCCAAGGGTCGGTGGAAGGGTTGTGTCAGGAAGGGTATCTAAGCTGAATCAAAAGCAACCACTCTGGAAATAAAGGAGCAGCTAAGCAGCAGTACCTTTATAGTAGTTATGTTGTTAGTTGCATAAGGAAATAATGAGGGTACAATGGTCATACTATAACATGTTTACAGCGTTGGAGGAAATGAGACACCTTGTTTGTAAAACTCCTGCTTATTTTTCCTAGTTATGGTGCACCTTTCACCTTCCATCTCTGGTGAGAACAGCTTGTGAGAAGACTCTCAAGGACCTGAAGCTGGACTACCTGGATCTTTACCTCATGCATTTCCCAATGGGGACCAAGGTCTGGAAACTTCTGTCCAGTCCTTACAATACAGTTAACTTTCTCTAAAATCTCTGTGATATAATAGTGTTTATAATGAACTGCAATTCATTATTATCAGGATGTCCAAAACACTCGCTGAAAAGCCTTCAGCTAATCCAAAATGCTGCCGCAAGAGTCCTGACAGGGACTAGAACGAGAGAGCATATTTCTCCTGTTTTGGCTTCCCTTCATTGGCTTCCTGTTAAATCCAGAATTGAATTCAAAATCCTGCTCCTCACATACAAGGTCTTAAATAATCAGGCCCCATCTTATCTTAATGACCTTGTAGTACCATATCACCCTATTAGAGCACTTTGCTCTCGCTCTGCAGAACTACTTGTTGTTCCTAGAGTATTTAAAAGTAGAATGGGAGGCAGAGCCTTCAGTTTTCAGGCCCCTCTTCTGTGGAACCAGCTTCCAGACAGACACTATCTCTACTTTCAAGATTAGGCTTAAAACTTTCCTTTTTGCTAAAGCATATAGTTAGGGCTGGACCAGGTGACCCTGAATCCTCCCTTAGTTATGCTGCAATAGACGTAGGCTGCCGGGGATTCCCATGATGCATTGAGTTTTTCCTTTCCAGTCACCTTTCTCACTCACTATGTGTTAATAGACCTCTCTGCATTGAATCATATCTGTTGTTAACCTCTGTCTCTCTTCCACAGCATGTCTTTTATCCTGTCTTCCTTCTCTCACCCCAACCGGTCGCAGCAGATGGCCGCCCCTCCCTGAGCCTGGTTCTGCCGGAGGTTTCTTCCTGTTAAAAGGGAGTTTTTCCTTCCCACTGTCGCCAAAGTGCTTGCTCATAGGGGGTCATATGATTGTTGGGTTTTTCTCATACGAAGCGCCTTGAGGCGACTTTTGTTGTGATTTGGCGCTATATAAATAAAATAAAATTGAATTGTATTATCAGACTGAACTATGCAGTCTAAATTTAATACTGTCTTGAACAC